TAAGTTGTTTGCAGGAAAGAGGTTTCATTTATATTTAGGAAGTACCTATAGATAACGCAAAAAATATTCCGAAACAGGAAAAATAACTAAGAAGAAGAATTAGGGGGAACTAAATAACATGCAGCTTTAGGAAATGAAAGAAAGGGCAAATAAAAGTCGACAAACTGCTCCGATACAGAAAATAGCTTTTTAAAAGTTGTTTATGGTGCGGCAACGACAACCTGCGTTGATATATACCTGCGTAGCTACATATGTGTGTGTGTATGTGTTACCTATGTACTGATTACGTGTTGTATTTTCTTTTAATATGTCTAAGTATTCCCAGTACTGTATGTTTTTGTAAATAAACATATAATAAGATGTTTTACAAACATTCTAGGTTGTTGTTGATACTTTTGAAATATTTTTGTGATATTAATAAAAATACTTGAAAAATTTATTGACCTTCTTAAGAATTTTCATCTGAAAGTTGTTTATTTACCAAATATTGTTACATGTATAACCAAATTGATTGTGGGATAGATGTTCTATTGCATATTTTCAATGAAGTCAATGAAGAAAGTAATACCTAAGTGTAATTGTTTACTATTCATCTATTTTCTGTCGTAGGTAGTATGTGTATCGATTCTTTGTCATATTGCTGCTGAATGGGTGGCTCGTGATGTGTTTACTATCTATGATTCACCGAATGACGTTAGCACCCCGACTGGTTCCAGGAAAACCTATCGGACACATACATACCTAGTGTAAAGCTCAATCAACAATGACACAAACGTTCATACCTAGATTAATTTGTTCTGTATGTTTTTCTTCGTCAATTCCAAATAAAATGCGGCCAACAAACCGGCAACTTTTCGAACCATATACTTTTTCTTAGAAACCACTAACTGTCGGCCATTACGGGTGAATCGAATCATTTATGACAGCAATCATTCACGTTTCCCTGAATTTAATTGGTCGGTCTCGTGAGACATTATCGGGTGTACCGATCTGCGTTATCTCGAAGAGGGATTAACCAGTTCCACCCTCGGTGGCAGATCTTTCTGAAGCACTACACTAGTGACAGGGGCGTGTGTCTGGCGCCCGCATTAACCCTGCATTAACACACAATATATTATAACCGAGCGTGTATGGATCTTGACATCCTACGTATTTATGAAGCGACTCCTACATCATTCTTGTGGGACGATAATAAATTGTTCTAAATGCAATGTCAAAATTGCTTTTCTGATAGAATGAATAAATCCGTACTGGGTGTGTGGTTTAAGATAAATGTATATGAATAAAGTCGGAATTAAGAGATTGCTACTAGGTTTAAAACATTGATTTTAAATTAATTACCCTGAGTAGATATATCCTAGATAAAAATATGTTGTGCCTGAAATACATGAAATAGCTAGTAGTCTCGTAGTGTTCCTCGGCAGACGCACAGTAATGGGCCGGCTGCGGCCGCCTGTCACCCGCACTACGCGCTGACAAATGGTCGGGCGGCGGATCCATCACCCACACTGCCACCAGCCAGCCTCCACGCGACCTCCAGCTCTGTCCGCTCTACGCTTAGGTTAAGAAACGTGTCTTTCCCGGATGGATCGATACACGCATATTGTAATATAACCAGTGGAACGGAATAACGTAACATGCCGGTGATTCATCACGACATCAAACAGGTACCTGTCATATCAAGTACCTAAGCTTTAAACTAGAATTATAACTATAACTATCACGTTAGGCTTTTGACAATTACCTAATCGTATCTGAATAGATTTTGAAGAACGAATGTTTGTTTCTGTTATACAGCATTGTCACTTCATACTGTAGCATAGTTTCGCAGATGAATTTCATTGATTCTATTGTTGTAGCAATCCCTGTAGTCGTTTCTATACGTGGACACTGAAATTGGTTGATTGGCACACGGTGTCGTCTCGTGGTGACACTCACCTGGCACTCGTGACACGTGTGCACGGAGTAAGGCTGGTCGCAATCGTATCTTCTGAGGATGTCGACGAAATCGCAGTGCACGCGCGCAACCATAGCGTCGAGACCGAGGAGGTCGTGCAGCGCGCGCTCGCAACTTTTTTGGTCGGAGAGCACGGCGTGACGCGCGCCGGCGTCCAGCGCGGAGGCGGGCGACCGCTCGCAGCACGCGCGCAACCGCAGCTCCGCGAGACGCCGTGCGCGTGCAGGTGTGCTCAGCGCGCACAGGTGCGGCACGTCGCGCTCCTTCAGCACGTCGGGCGCGCCGCCGCCGCCGCCGCACGCCGCGCCCCCGCACTCGCGCACGCTGCCCGCGCCCTCCTCCTCCAGGTCGCACGCGCTCAGCCAGGGGTTGAGGCGCGCGAGCGGACTCACGGCCAGGCCCGCGGCCGCCATCAGCAGCAGCAGCAGCAGCGGCGG